GGTCAAATCAATTCTCAAATTTTGATACTTTTTCAACTCTTAAGTTTATATAATTTTTTTCCACTTTAAAAAATCATTTACTATTAAATTGACTTATGAGAAGAAGTACCCAAGACTGTTGCTTGACGGGGGTTTCGTAATAATGGAGAAGAAGGGTAATTTGGGGATTTTGAAGAAATAAATAAAAGAAATGATTCGGTGAAGACATAGAGTATAAGTTTTATAGGAGAGTTATTGCGTGAAATTGCCAAACTAGGAGGATGAACCTGGACACTTACAATTTTTTGTATTATATTTAGCCTGCAGTGCACTTTGGGCTACTTTTGCGAGCAACTTTGCGAAACAATTCCAAAAGTACCCTTTTTTAGGTCATAATTATATAATTATTTTTGTAATGTTTCCTGGTGTTGTTTTCTTAGGTCAAATTAAGTTCTCAAATTTTGATACAATCTAATAGAATATAAGACTTCTCCCCCACCCAAATAATGGCTTAATGACATTTTTTCATACCATTTTACTATCCAATTTTATATTACATTTTTAATTTCGGTATCATTACGACCTCACACCATTAGCATTCTCTTTACTAATCATCACCCACCAAAACCCCTAAAACCCTACTCTCATTGACCTCACCAATCGCAAGCAATCGAACCATTAGGGTTTGCGTTGTCACCCTTCCAAGTCAAATTTCAATCAATTCCAACCATCAAAATCCAACATTCCACCTCCAAAAGACTCATTGATCTTTCTTATTCAAAAGCCCTAACAGTTTGAACCAAATTTGTTATTTATTCATTGTCCAAAAATATAAATTTGAATGGTAAAATAGTATTTTAAAAATTTGTTAGTGAAAAATATAATTAAACTATTATTTGAGTGAGAAAAAGTCGTTAACTCCGTTCGAATACAAAGATAATTCATCAATATGGTGAAGAGTTTATTACTAATATACTAATACCACTTTAGTTAAATTAGTATTTCAAAGATAAACTTAGGGATAATATGGTCTCTTGACCAAAACTTAGGGTTATAAATTTTTTGTAAAAATTATAATTTAATGTAGAAAAAATAAAGCCGCCCCATTTTGAACAAAGAAAAGAAAAAAGAGAAATGGGGTTGCGCATACCGTAATATGAGGTTCTAGGAATCTTCTTCATAAATTTGAAATCAAATCGTTGTATAGGAGAGGAAAGTGACCCCTTTTGTTTCGTAATAGACGTCAGGTGAACGTGCCCCATTTAAACGCTAGGTTCATTTTTGGCATCTAGAGTTGTCAAATACAAACTTTTCTTCTACTTTACATTGACACTTTGGAATAAGAGTAAACCATATTTTCTTGCTAGAATCACACTTTCCTATCTAAAAAGTTTCAAAATACAATTTTTTCACTCAAAGTTTATATTTCGTTAATACCCAAAATACACTTTACTTTCTCGGTTGAGGTTCGACGAGTTGCCAAGAGCCAGGGTACAAGGGTTTTTGTAGAGTGAAGACCGATGGATCGAATGGTGGTGACCGATTGAATATTTACTGTTGGATTCAGTCGAAGATCAACTAAGAACATGAAACCCTAACTTTGTGGTGGTCAGCAATAGACAAAAAATCAGGTATTGGGGTGAGAGAGTTTTTGTTGACAGGAGACAGGAGGTTCAAATGGTGGTGACGGAGAGAATTCTAGCCGCCATAATCGGCTTTGGATAGTAACGGAATATTAACTTTGGTTGAGAAAGTGATATTTTGAACAAATTAAGGCAAAAAATGATATTAAGGCAAACCTTGGGTGGAAAAAGGTCGTTTACTCTTGGAATAATATCATTACGAACTTTTAATTGAAGCAGGAAAGTCCAGGTACACTGCTCGTTGCTTTCCACTTTGCTTGACTTGTGCCAAACCTCCCTATTCCACTAATAATTTACCATATTTAGGTTTTTTCACTATATAATATCACTATGTAAACATTGTTATCTATCTAAAATTTTTATTTCCATTTACATGTCACCATATGCATATTATCATATCATTTATTATACCGTTACATTACTCAAAGATAAAACTAATAGCATAAATCAAACTTCTGCATATAAATCAGTGTGATATCATCCAATTAGACTATTGAAATTTTTTAATAAATAGTGGTAAATGATTTGTATAAGTTAAATTTTTGTAAGACAAGTTTCCCACCACCTGATAAATTTCTCAAAAGATTTTGAGTTCCAATTCCCATTAACTTCAGGGTCCAAAAAAAAATTAGTTGAGATGCGCACAAGTTGGTCCGAATACCCCGATACCAAAAAAAAAAAAAAAAAAAAGATAAAATTCTTGGATAAGATTATATGTATATAATATTTATTGAGATTGTTTTATTATATGGACAAGATAAAATATCATATTAATAATTTAAAAATTTTTAATTAACTACATTAAGCAAATTGAATATAATTATTATATTAAATATGTTAAAATGATTTATACTATCGTACCCAGTACACCAGAAGAAAAAAAAAAAAAAAAAACTATAAAGAGATGAAAAATCGTGTAAAAGGTATTGTTGTTAAACCGAAACCATATAATATCAGAATAATCAAATTATTATGGATGGATTTATTTTGATTTTAAAAGTCAAATATATTGAATTATTGCCCTCTAAATATGACTGGCATAGTTCGAAGAATTATACGCACGTGTCTCTTAAATTCATAAAAGATAATATAATATTAACTTCTTATGGATAATTTAATTAATTAATTTAGATAGTCAGATTTGGCGGTAAATTGACCGTCTCAGTGATTTTATAATTATTTATAAATAAAATTAGTTAATTGCGCATACTTACTGAGGTTTCAAGATGTTAACACAAATACCCCCGTCCTTTAATTTCCTTAGGATTCTTTTCACTTACACCCTCCAACATAAAAAATAAAAATTTATCCCCTATAAATCTATACAATTAGCCAGTTACACTCCTATCATCAATTTGTGGTGTTAAATGAACTGTCACAAAAATAGAGGGAGTATTGAGGAGAATTCCAGGTTAGCAAGTAGCAGCCGTTAAGCCAAGGTTGGTGGAGTCTCTGTTGGATATCATTAAATCTTTCAAAACAATGAAAACGACAACTCAAACTGAATGTTCTCTGACATCTGCAATTACGCCTTTTCATTTCTGTCTTTTACTTCCAATTTAATTATAATTAAATTACAAAGAAAATATTTTATTCATTAAATTTGTTTAAAATCACCAACTTGAAATTACACATGATTATGGTTGTCTCCCTAATCAGATAATAAAAGTATTGTGAAAAATGCGCTGAACCGCTCAATCAACGGTGGTGATTTCAAATCAAATAATCTCGTGTTTAGATTTAGCAGATAAAACATATTTTATTTCTGCCCCCACATAATAATAATTTGTTAACCAATTAAAAACACCAAGCATTTGATTAACATAATTTTTAATCAAAAACTTTGACCTTTAAAATAAATTATTTACTCATTCCACTATGCAAACAAAGATGAAAAATTATTTGTTACAAACCCGAAGAGGTTGGGCTAATCAATAAGGTTTGTCCGTCATTGACTTTTTATATTCAAATCACCTTAACGTCATCTATCATATTTGTGACTTGTTTAGAATATTGAATTTGTAAGGTGTTCGATGAATCATGAAGATTAATTAAGATACACGTAAACTAACCTGAACACTCCGATTATATATAATTAGTTTCGTACCTATTTTAATAATGGATAAATATTCATTAAATAGTATTATAAATATTTTTTAGAAGCTTTCTTAGTGATTTAATTGTTAATTATTATTCAGCTTATCTCAATAATTTAAATAAATTAGATTAGGATATGGAATAGATTTATTTTTATTTTTTAATTGAAATTCAAATTAAAAAAAAAGGTCTATCAATTATCAAAGAAAGTATAGATGTCTTTTTAACGAATGTTTTGGATTCTTTCGAAATAACCTTACTTTATTATCGGTTTTATGTTTGATCATTCATCATTATCTAACACGTGAAATTCAAACACCTCAAACTTTCTGCCAATAATTCATCTATAATTAACTGTCATAAGCTAATAATTGACATGGCCAATAGTTTCTTGTCGGAGGCGCAGAGAAAATTTATGTTAAGGGGAGTGTTTTACATCTTATATATCTTTAACACATCTTTTAAATTTTAATCACGTTTTCTATTTTTAAAATATAATATTTGGGATTTTCCTGTTATCCATCTTTGAATTTATGAACTCAATTGTAATTTTAATGGGTGTCATGAATCATATTGAAAACTGATCTTTCAGTTCTGAAACAAACTATACAACTACCGTCACCATCTCCATTATTTGAGTAGATTTTGTTGCTATATATCCATTCTATGCACTACTTTACACTTGAATACGTATATAAAAAACATCAATCCAACCTAAACAATATATTTTAATTCAGAAATCAAAGCTTACCTAACTTTAGCTTATATAGTTTCCTGCATATCCACAAACTTTATCTCCAAGCTTGTTGTTCTAGATGGAAGGCATCTATATGGTCAAGTTTTAAATTTGTTTATTTGCATTGGGAAAAGACTTGCAGCATTACCTCTTCCCTTCTAACCAGATGACAAACCCTTTAACCACTAGGATTAGCTTACACCGAAGAAGTCTTATGTTCGAGTCGCAAGAGAGGTATCTACTACATTCACATTTGTGCAATTACTTTGGTCTATTGGGTTTGTAGGGTCTTTCGTGACCCCAAGGATTAGGCAAGATCTAATGTGGGTCTGGATACTTCAGTTACCTAAAAAAAAAAAATGTGCAACATTCAAGAGCAAAAGTTTTTTTTTTCTCTCTTATTTTCTACTATTGTGAGCATTACCGAGCTGGTATGGAAATGTAGCTTACTTATGAAGAGAAAAAAAAAATGTAATGAATAAAGAAGACCAAAAACAAAATTGATGAGATGACTTTCACCGAATAATGAATGGAATAGAGTTTTTATTTATACTAGGAAGAAGATTTGATTGTTACCAATAATCCAGGCAAGAACAAGTTCCGTCCTTAAAATGATGAAACCTGTTTCGATCTCTTACTATAATCTCTCTCTGATAAATAACCGAAACAAGCTTACCACTATCATGGCAATCGCTGCAAACTCTCAAGTTTTTAATGATCCGAATAGGAACACTCGCATCAGATGCAATAAGAGCAAAGGCAATTGCTAGCCTTTCACTATGGTAAGAAAGAGAATCTTCCTTTTCTTCTTCTTCTATGTCAAACAACACTTCTTTAGTTCTTGGCTTGTGTCCATATTCTAGTAGCCTATTGTTTATCTCTTCAACCTTCAAATAAATCTCTTTTGTACATGGGTGCGTTTTATCTCCTATGAGAAACTCATGCATAGTTCCATTAATCTCAACTAAACTACTTCCTGGCATTTTGTAAATGTCATGATCTTTCATTAGTTTCCTGACCTTTTTTACGTCGTCCCATCTGTTTATTTTTGCGTACATGTTGGATAAAAGCACATAATTGCCACTTGTCTCTGGTTCTAATTCAATTAAGTGCTTTAATGCAACTTCTCCTATTGCTAAATTGCCATGAACTCTTGCTGCTCCAAGTAAAGACCTCCATAAAATAGCATTTGGCTTCATGGGCATTTTTTTAATCTTTTCTTCAGCTTCCTGGAGCCGCCCAGCTCGAGCCAGAAGATCCACTAAACACCCATAATGTTCAAGTGTTGGCTCATTTCCATAAACCTCTCTAATTGAGTCAAATATTTTGCAACCTTCCTCTACTAACCCAACATGTGAGCAGGCAAACATTGACACCACAATCGTTACATTATCAGGCAATAGCCCTTCAAGTCTCATTTTCTTATAAAGGTCAAGTGCCCGTTGACCGTAACCGTGAATTGCAAACCCTCCAATCATTGCATTGTAGCATAGTGTGTCCCTCTGACGCAAATGATCAAACGTTTGATATGCTAGATTGAGACACCCACACTTCGAGTACATGTCAATTAGAGAGGTACCCACATGGCAGTTTAACTTAAGATTGTTCTTAACTACATAGGCATGAGCCCAGATGCCTTGACTAAGAACACCCAAATCAGAACAGGCACTTAAAAGTGCCACAAGGGTAACTTCATTTGGCCTAACCAAAGAATTTTGCATTTCAGTAAACAGATACAAAACCTCTAAAGACAAACTAGAATCCCCATTAGTTATTCTACTAACACAACTAGTACTATTACTAGCATTACGTGCATAAGCAGTTAATATAGAGTTCCATGTGGCCAAATCTGGGTTGCTAATTTGATTGAACAAATACCTAGCCACATCAAATTTACCCAAATTGGCATAGAAATTGAGCAAAGAAGCTTGGACGTAATGATCACAACTGGATTCAAGGAATTTCAAGACCTGGGTATGAAGGGCTAAACCGTGGAGAACCCATGGGTGAAACCCACATGCCTTGAAGAGAGATGGGTAAGTAAAACAATTGGGTTTAAGATTTTTGTGAGTGAAAATACGGTTATAGAGGCCAAAGGCAATGTGGGTGTGGTTTTTGTGATGGGTAATTATTGATGAAATGAGAATGTTGAAAAGGAACACTGTTGGGTTTGTAATTTGGTTAAAGATGGTAAGCGCATAGGTTAAGCTTAAGGGGGAGGCCGAGAGGAGGATTCTACTAAGAGGATATGTGTGAATGTTGAGACCGGTTGTGATCATCTGGGCATGGACTTGCTTGAGTGCGTAAAGGGTCTTGCATTTTTCTAAGAGCTGTAGCGTTGGGTGGCTGCAAATTGGGTTAAACGATTTCATGAATTTGGTGTCATCTGGATTCTGGTAGTTCAAATTTATAAAGAGGGATGTCTTCCGAACGAGCATGAGTTGGGTAGCTGTGCCTGTAGCTCAATCTCAAGCTAGTTTGGATTGTGGGCTTCGGAAGAATCACACTTGAAGAAAGGCCCAATGAAAGAGACAATTTGATTTGTAAATCCAAATCCATGTTTTAAAGCAAAAGTTTGTGCTACGGGACAAGAAGCTTAAAAGACAATTAAAATAATTAACATGTGCACGTACGTAGAATTTAGAACAAAAAGTTAGAAAATTAAAGGTTAGTCTAACATGTATGGTAATGTCGGGCACGCATATATATATATATATAACAGTCAAAAAAAGGATAATGTTTTCTTTGGTCTTTAACACATCAATCAAATCTCTACTTTGGTCCCAACAACGTTCACCTTTCGTCATCTCCAATAAAATTTTTATAAAGTGAAAGCCAAACCGAAAACACTTTTTTCTAGTTTTGAAAACACTTTTGACGAAAATGATGAAACAATTTTTAACCCTCTATAATTGCAAAGCTAAAGCATTTTCCATTCCCATCATTCTCTTTTCTTCTTTCTTGTGGTTGGTGTTGAATGTGTACTTTAATCACATATATTAAGATTTTCAATTACAAAATTCTAATTATATTCTATATTTTTTTTTTCTCTTACTTGGTGTGTTAATATATTGGTTGTGTGTACTAGATATTAACCTCATTTATTATCATGAAATAATAATTCTTGGAAAATGGTAGATATAAGTTAGCAAAAATTTGTCATTCAAACCACTCTTAGATAGTTGAGTGATAGAACAAAGACTTTTAGATGTATTATTCAAGAGGTCATGAGTTTGAATCACCTCAATTGTTATATCAGTTATCAGTATATCTAATAATTAACTTGAGGGTTTAAGAACATACAAACTAGCCCAGACACTGTTGACCGTCAGAAAAATGTCATTTATGAGTTTATAATTCATAAAGAATAAAAGATTAATTGAAATCATATATAAATTACGTAACCATCAAACACCCCCTATTGCCAAAAAAATAAAAATAAATATCAAATATGAGTTTATAATTCATAAAAAATAAATATATAAATCATGTAACCATGTGAATTCGTATTATTTAACTCAAAAATATGTGAAGATGATGATATTCTTCCATTTTTTTTATACTGATTAATATCTTTATGGTTTTTTTAACAGAAAAAGGATAATATATACATATATATATATATATATATATATATGTTAGATAAGACTGGATATCTTTATAACTTTGGAGGTGAAAAGAAGAATTGATATAGACTGGTTTATTTGTATTCACTCTTTAATCTTTATCCAATTATTCGAACATTTTCAAAAAGTTTAAAGGGGTTTTTCCAATTAAAAGTATTAAATTATGTTTTCTTAAAGTAAGTTAATATATTATTTGTTTGAAGATTGGAAATATCGGTCAAAAGTAACACACTCTGACTGTACGGTCTGATTCTGCGGTTGCCGGTAGATCTTTTGGGCCCGCACAATAGTATTCATTAGGCCAATGACTTTTCATCTTTGGTGGGTCCTAATAAAACACCTACACGACAAAATCTTTTATTTTTTATTATTATTTTTTTGGGTCTTAAAAATATCGTAATAATTTTGAATATATATATAAAAATTCGGCTTGAGACAGAAAAGCCCAAAGTGGTTTTCACAGAAAAGCATATAAGAGTGGGAATGATTGAAGTATGAGATATCAAAGTACTTATGGGTTTGGGGGTTCTGACCAATTTTGCTTTTGGGTGAATGATTAAAGGTTTTTGGTGCCTCCTTTTTATGCCAGACCCGTAGACCTACACGTTGTTCTCATTTTGCTTCAGCCTCGAAAATAAATTTGTGTCAAAACGACAAAACAAGCCGTCTACATTACAATGAAAACGACAAACTCCTCTGGGTTCTTTACACCAATATTCACGACCAAAAATTTACTAAATCATATCTCCATCCATTAATTTTAACCCATTTCTTTTACACTATTATTCCCCAGAAACCCAAAAAACATAATACTTAAATTAAAAACAAATTTAATCTGATATTGCTTAAATGAATGAAAATACAATAAAATAAAATAAAATTTAACTATAGTTTTTAGAGCTTTTTTTTTTTTTTTTTGGATGTAATTTTGCTAAATGGAGGTCTGGGTAGGAGTAGGACATGGCTTTAAATCCGAGAGAGACGCCGATTTGTCAGCTCAAAAAAGGGCTTTGTGGTAGTGGGTATGGCCCAAACCCAAGTTGGGCCTGAGCTGGATCCACTATCAGAAAAGCAGAAACTTTACTGTGTCTGCCACTTAAGCCAATCCATTGGACCCCACGTGCTCAAACTTAGGATAGCGTTTGGCTTTGTATTTTTCACTTAAATTAACTTACTACTCTGAGAAAGGAGGGACAAAGTGGCCTGGTGGCGCCTCTGCTCAACCCTCTTTTCTACTGTTTAAGGAAAATAGATATAGACAGTAAAAACGACAGATTTTACTCTTTACCAATATTACCTCTTTCATGTATTCTTAATTCTGTAAATAGAAAAAGCTAACAAAACTGGTATTTGGTTAAAGAGTAAAGTTAAGGATTTACATTTACTCTACCCTTTTTCCCTTATTATATTAATTATTAATTAGATAGTGTAAAAAGATAATTCAATGTTTAATTTAGTAAAGTTGTCAGTTCATTGTTGTGAATGTTATAGTAAAATAAAAATACCCTTTAATTGTAATTTAATTTCATAAAAATCCAAGCCTGAAAGGGTCAAGAAGAAACGCTTGTAAAAAGCGCTTTAGTAAGAAAGAGAGAAAAGGCTGTGGAACCGGAACTGGAAGGCAGACTTCTTTAAAGCAAGTCGTAGAGATTGGAAGGCACATGGTATGTAATGTAATGTACATGTTACCTCATATGGGCTAGTGGTAGTACTATTGCTTTTTTTTTTTTTTTTTTTTTAATGATCGGTCAATCAACTATCCTCGGAACCCTAACCTTAGTTGGATACGAGCTCGTGGTCACCCCTTATTAGCAACCATGGAGACTCGAGTTAGGAGATCATGTTAGATCTTTCTTTTGCTCTTTTTACTCTCATGGAGACTCGAACATTATGTTAGATTCTCTTTTTATTCTTTTACCATCGAAATGACTCTAATTTGAGAGATCATGCTAGATTATTCTCTGCTCTTTTACCATCAGACCATATGGTGTTTTTAGTAGTATTGCTTTGTTTTATTATGTGTAGAGTTTTGTGTTGAGTGTTAGTGAGTTTCCTTTCCTTTCCTTTCCTTTAATGACAACTCATATTTTTGCTTTATTAGTATTCAATCCCCATTATCATTATGGACATTCATGTTTTACATATTGATATGCTCATCACCTCGCCCATCTTTGAATATGACTCATCTTTCTTTCTTCTTGTCATTTTATTATGAATAACGTTACGTTGCCCTATTTGTATTGTTTTTCTTTATTACAATTTCATCATTATTATAGTAATGGACAAACTTGTTACACATTTTTTTTTGATAATCGGAGCATTCGGGCTAACTTATATGCACCTCAACTAATCCCTATAGTTTATTAAACACCCTATAAATTTAATGGACCAGATAAGCCACAATGATATTGTGGCAGATATCCTTAAGGTTTGAACCTAGAAAATTAAAGAAGGGAGCAAACCTCTTTATCCGCCACGCCAACCTCTTGAGTTCTTGTTATAGATTTTGAATGTACTCAAACCTGAAATCATATGCTTGTTGACATTAATAGATAAATGGTAGACTTATAATTATAATGACTAATAAAATCAATCGGGAATTACTATTGGGTGATTTGAGGTAAAAGAGTAAAATAAGGTTATATAAGTTTTTGAATTTGATTCTCCATAAGTGTTAATAAGAATAGCAATTGAAAAACTTACATAACCGTTAATTTTAAAAAGATTAATTAAGTTACGAGACCGCACACCTCCTATCATCACCTAAAAAAAGTAAATTGGGGCAACATGACTCATAATAAAATCTATATTAAAAAAGGAAAAAAAAATGTGAAGTGGAATTATGGAAGGAATACTGACGCACACGCGTGCATTGGCTAGCTATATTTAAAAAAAAAAAAAAAAAAAAAAAAAATATAAAAAGGAAGAAAATCTGAATAGGATCACAAACCATAAATGGTAGGCATATGTGATTGTTATAATAGCCTCCCCTCCTTGTTTCATGATGGGGAGAATATCATGTTCATACTCTTTTTAATTTATAATTGCTTTATCCATAACCTCACCACTAGTTAATTTGACCATTTATTCCTTAGCCAAAAGCAAAACGAAAACGCAAATCTAAGGGACTTGGGGGGTTTTTAAAATTGGGTGTGTTATTAGGAACACAATGTTGAATGTCCCCAACAAACATTGAGATGGGCGGAATGGAATAATAGCAGCAATGGAGCAGTGCAAATTTCGGGATGTGTGTAAAATGGGTCTTGTGTTATGTGGAGAATTGACCCCACCACACGCACACCTCACTCAAAAAAAATCCCTTCACTTTGGCCTATAACTAAACATATACTTGGGAAACTCACTCCTCTCTTCCACTAATAACTGGTGATAAAAACTAATCCCAAGTAAAAACCCATTACAAAACAAAACCAACCCAACCCATTCCAAAACTAATTATATTATCTTCTTATGATGCGAATAGGAAACATCCAAAACAAAATATATAGCCCATACCCCACAATTATATTTACCCCTGAGGGAGAAGGGAGTCATGATTTGGAGCATTTATTGTATAATGGAACTTTGTGTGCATGCCACCCACAACCCTCCAACAAAACGCTACTTTCTTTTTTACTCACATCCTGCCATATGCTATTTATCCTTTCTTAAATTATTGATTTACTTACTCTGTGGTCCTTCTTACTTTGTGTAATTTTACGTGTCAAAATTTATGGGGGCCATATTTCGTGCAAAACAGGCTTTAAGCATGCTTAGCCGAAAACACCAGGCTTTTTTAAGTTTAGCTGCTGCAGTTTTATTTATGGGATGTCTTTCATTTCATAGACATACTTTGAGTTCGAGTTACCCTACCCTCTTAGCCTTCTTATTATTTGTTCCATTATCTTAGTGGATGTTTGAAAAATTCAAAATTGATGGTTCAAACCTGTTTTTGTTTTTTTTTATTAAAGGACGCCCAGAAAATAAATGTGTTTAATGTTGTATCAAACTAGAAAATGACTTTGTATTCGAGTGTGGAACACCGTTACTCGAGTGTGGATAACAACAGGGAAACAAAATTCTGAGAGTGTTTAAAGTGGGTCAACAAAGTAATGATCGGGTGCAGTACTGTAATCACAACCATCCAAATTAGAATAAGTAAACCATATTTGATTTCCAACAAGAAAGATGTCTTTAAGTGGGGCCGAATATCTCTCCAAGTCCAGAATCTAATTATACACAATCACTACTCCCACAGTTTCCCTCCTCTCTGTCCACCTATTAGCAGAGGCTAAATCATATGCTACTCTATTGATTATTAACCCCTCTTCATCACCATTTCTCCGCCGTCCGATTATCTCAACAACATGGGTAAGTATTAAGTAATTCGATAACTAATCCAAGGGCCTCCCATCGCTATCAGCCAGCATGGTGGCTAATCCAAAAAATTATGGACTTTTTAAGGATTATATAAAACGAGGGTACAAAACCTAGGAAACAGTGAAGATTGATAAGAGTAATATATCATAGCCGTTGACGTGGGTGAACATTTTAATATCATAGACCGGAATACAGTGGATAAAAACAAAACAAAAAAAAGTGGACCCGAAATTCTCTAATCTCTAAAATTTGTATTGACCGTTACAAGTGAATCAAGTTCAAGGTGGCAAAATTAAAAGAGTTTTGGACATGAAGTATAATAAGATAATATAATTTATACAGAGGCATAGGGAGTTGAGAGAGAGAGAGAGAGAGAGAAAAAGAAGAGAGCAGAAATGGAGAAGTCTGCAGGAGGGAGGACTGCAAGTTCGAATTATTCTTCTTCTGTGTATGATTGCTTTTATATTATCCAGTAGTTCTTTTGGACTTTATAGTTTATACTCTCTCTCTCTCTCTCTCTGTAATTCTTTAAAACAACACACAACAGACATTTATATATAATAAAAAACATTTTTATCTTAATATTTGGGGTTGGTGTGTTATGGTGTACGTCCCCGAGGCTGCGCGATCAGTCCAGAACCAAAACGTATTGTGTTTCTTTCTTTGTTATGGTGAGAGAAACAAGCGGCTTAACTTAGACTGAGCTAAAAAACTACTAAAGAAAAGAGAAGAAAGAGAGAGTAATAAAAAGCAAAGAGAAGGAGGGAGGGAGGAGAGTAGGAGACTAACAAGAAAGAAAGCCTTTTACACGTGATAAAGAAAGCACTAAAAGCATTTGCATGCGTGTATAAAGATTCATCATCATCATCATCATCTTTCCTTGGTGAATTCTGAATCTCTCTCACTCTCTCAAATTTTTGAAATAAAATAAAATTATTTTTAAAGTGAAGCCAAAAACCTCTCTTTTTTATCTCTTACTTTTTAGTTCTCCTTTATTACCAAAATCCCTTCTTTTTAAGTCCCTCACTCCCTCTCTTTCATTCTGTTACCATTTTCTTCATTCAAGGTGACTGCTTCCTTCCCTTGCTAGCTCTTTTGCTTATTGAGTTGGTTTGTTGGTTGGTGAGTTTTAATGAATTTTTTCAACACATTTAGTGGGTCATTTTCTCCATGGCAATAAATTTAAATTTTTTTTTTTTTTTAAATATTCTTCAGATAGTGATTTCGCTGCCGTTTTCAATGTTTATTCCTTCTCTTTGTATACTTGTTCTTGTTTAGTTTTGTTTTTTTCTAGGTGTTGTCATTCTCTTTCTATACTCAAAATATTATAATTATTTTTATGCACTTCTCATGTTTTCATCTTCTTGGGTTTATTCATCAACCTCTTTATGTGGATTTTCTCACTTCTGGGTATTCCCATTTATTAAGTTTTGTTTGATTATTTTATTCAATTAAACTCTGTATTCTCTCAAGTTATGCTCATTGTTGGCTTCCTGATAGAAGCATGTTCTGTGAAGTAGAAGAAAATAGAGGTTTTCGGTTTTTGATTCTGACTGGTGAGCTGAGGAAGTAGTGTTTGGGGTTTCGTGTTTTTGATTTTCTTCTTTCACATGAAAAAAATAAAAGAAACGTTTTTCTTTAACAAAATATATTACCTGTATTTTTCCTTATGTATGGTTATGTTAACAGTCTCCACTCAATGGTTCTGCAATCACCAGTGAAACAGAAACTGTTACTCTTGTTTTGTTTTTAGTTTTTAATTTTTTTTTTAATAAAATATATAGTTTTTGTGGTGTTTTATGAAACCAAGTGAATGGTTGGTTTTTCCAGTTTTGCGAAGGAATACTAATGCTTGTAGTGTGTAACAAAGGCTGAACGTTTACCCATACCGTTTTAATTTGTGTATTCAACTTTGGTGCTGTTTTAACATCTTCATTATATCTATTTCTTTACAGTTTCTGCATATTTGGTTGAGGTTACTGACATACATTTTCCTTTATTTGTTTTTTATATTTTTCCTGCAGAAATAGGTCCTTCAATTTTTTAAAGTAAAGAGTAAAGACTAGAAGAGAAGCCACTGAGATTTTGTTGTCTGTTACATTTGGGTGAAAATTGATTATCCATCTTCATTGAGTCGCTTGTGTGTTTGAAACGAAAACCAAAACAAAAGAATGCCTATAAGGCAAATGAAGGATAGCTCAGAACAACATTTAGTGATCAAGACTCACTTGCAAAATACCATGAGTCAAGCTCAAAAACAACCCAAAACTGCTCAAAATGGCAAAGGCCCTCCACATCAAGAACCCCAAAACTCAAAACCTCATAACCAAACTTCACCTCCGACTAAGAATAGAGGAAGAAGAAGAGGAAGAGGTGGTAGAAAATCTGAACAAAGTGATGTCTATATGAGACCAAGTTCAAGGCCCTGCACTGTGGCACATAAGCCAGTGAACCATGCTTGTGATATTGTGGCAAGTAATTCTGATGGGTCTGTTCAAAATGGTCATAATTTGTGTGGAACGGAGATGGGTTTTCCTACTTCAAGCAAGTCTTTGAGTTTTGCTCCAAGGCCTGGTTATGGTCAAGTTGGGACAAAGTGTATTGTTAAGGCCAACCATTTCTTTGCAGAGTTACCAGACAAGGATTTGAACCAGTATGATGTAAGTTGTATTTTCCTTGACATTTTCTGTAATGGAGCAAAAAGAATAACATTTAATTTTTGGCCGTCGGTTTGATATTGTTTTGTATCAATTGGGGCCCTTAATCTGACAATGAATATGGTTATGTTGTTGTTTCATCTTAATTTTCTCTTACATTGCAGATGAAATTGAATAGGTTTCTGTTTATGACCCTGTCCTTTTCTTGTAATGGCATTTATGAGATTTAAACTCGTGACCAGAAATTTTGGTCTTATTGTCCCGATCTGTATTCTGTTTTTGCAGGTTACCATAACTCCTGAGGTAGCATCAAGAACTGTGAACCGAGCTATTATGGCAGAGCTTGTGAGGCTGTACAAAGAATCTGACCTAGGAATGAGACTGCCTGCTTATGATGGCAGAAAGAGTCTTTACACAGCTGGTGAACTTCCTTTCGCTTGGAAGGAGTTCAAAATTAAGCTTGTAGATGATGATGATGGAATCAATGGTCCCAGGTAAGTTCTTTTGTTTCTTTTGTTTGCTTTCCCTCTTTGCATCCTACTTTTTAACTTCTTTTTCTTTTCTTTTTTCACCGAGTGGGATTTTTTCTCTCTGAGTTGGTTAAAGTTTCTTATCGTGTAACAAATTATGGAATTAACAAAATACAGTGGCAAACTCTATACACAAAATATATCTCATTTTATAATTTTTAGCTTTGATATGCATCGATTTGGCTTCACATATCTGTATTTTCTGTGGAAGTATGGTTAATTGACCTATTTGAAAAATTTTCAGAAGAGAAAGAGAATATAAAGTGGTGATTAAGTTTGTGGCTAGAGCAAACATGCATCATTTAGGCCAGTTTCTAGCTGGTAAACGAGCAGATGCTCCACAGGAAGCACTCCAAATTCTTGATATTGTATTAAGGGAGCTCTCGACAAAGAGGTATAACTTCTCAGTAGTGTTTCTGACCATGTTGAATTCTCCGTAGAGTAATGATCAACGGTTCTTATCCAACACTGTTTTTGAACATTGAAGGTACTGCCCTATTGGGAGATCCTTCTTTTCACCAGATATTAGAGCACCTCAACGGCTTGGTGATGGCTTGGAGTCCTGGTGTGGATTTTACCAAAGTATAAGGCCTACACAGATGGGACTGTCCCTGAATATTGGTATAATATTTATTACTATCAAAGAAGTTTCAAATAAAAATTAACTGACAGATTCTCAAAAATTATAATATTTCTCCCATTTCAACCTTCCAATGTTCTATGCAGATATGGCTTCAGCTGCATTCATTGAGCCTCTCCCTGTAATAGAGTTTGTTGCACAGCTTCTAGGCAAAGATGTGTTGTCTAGGACATTATCTGATTCTGATCGTGTGAAGGTACTTATTGTTATGTCGGTTGAGTTGCCTGGTTTTATTACTTGGTATTAGTTTGACTTGAAAAGTTGTTTTTTTTTCCATCATTTGCCACTTACCAGATTAAGAAGGCCCTTAGAGGAGTGAAAGTTGAAGTAACTCACCGAGGTAATGTCCGTAGAAAGTATCGTGTTTCAGGATTGACAGCTCAACCTACAAGAGAACTAGTGTAAGTTCTAATCCTCTTTTGGTTAGATTTACAGTCTGCAACCGTTTTTCATTTCAATAACTTAATAATTTTTATAAGGAAAAAATGTCAAAGTTTACTATATATTGGAGGTTAGTACGTATGACTAAGGTATAAAGAAGGTTTAATATCCCTTGTCTATTTTAAGGAATCCTGGTTTTGATATGTTTGTGCTAGTGGTGTGATTGTCAAAGTTATTCTTTTTCAGGTTTCCTGTTGATGATAATTCAACAATGAAGTCTGTGGTTGAATACTTCCAGGAGATGTATGGCTTTACCATTCAACATACACATCTACCTTGCCTGCAAGTAGGAAACCAGAAAAAGGCTAACTATTTACCCATGGAGGTAGGAAGAGGTTTGGAAACTTCTATTTTCGTGTAGCAATTGAATTATTTGTTCTGTTCCATAATGGTTTCATGGTATCTGCATTTTTTTTTTTGCCAGGCTTGCAAAATTGTTGAGGGACAGCGATATACAAAAAGGTTGAATGAGAGGCAAATTACAGCCCTCTTGAAAGTTACATGCCAAAGACCTAGGGATCGGGAAAATGACATTTTGCAGGTATTATGATATTTTAATATTGCCCTCTTGTAGAACACTTAAGGGTCGTAAATGAAAACTTTACAAGGTAGAATTAGTGGACTTAGCATGCATTAGATTTCTCCAAGTGCATGGTCACAACAAATCTTGGAAAACAGAGAAGCTTTGGAATCTTTGGGCTAAAATTTCCATCACTAAATAGTTGTAAAAACTTATTTACCTCTTCCGTTGTCTTTCTGCGGGCCAGATTGAATGTAGTTGAATTCCTAGGACCTGTAGGTTTGAGAATTTTCTGTTGCATTTATATAAAATTGAATATGGTATTAAACTGAAGACTAAATTCACTGTGCTCTGCAATCATTGGAATATTAACATATACCTTATGAGCTTGAGCCTCTAATTTTGGTTGCATTGTTTGAAATTAAGGAATCTTAAGACATTGCAAGTCCTTAACAAGAGTGCTTTTTCTGGATATCATATTTAATAAACTGTGTTCCGGTTTTGGATCTTCATTTTTCTGACCAAGCAGACAGTTCAACATAATGCTTATGATCAAGACCCTTATGCAAAGGAGTTTGGGATTAAAATCAGTGAAAAGTTAGCTTCTGTTGAGGCGCGGATCCTTCCTGCCCCTTGGGTAATACAGCCTTTCTTTATTACCTGTGAGTAGTTTAGATAAACGCAGTTGTTGTGTTCATTGTTTGCCATCTCATACATTCCTTCCTGCAGCTAAAATATCATGAAACTGGAAAGGAAAAGGATTGTTTGCCTCAAGTTGGTCAGTGGAATATGATGAACAAGGTATTCTACTTTGTGCTTTGCGATCTTACTTTTATTTTTCCACAAGTACTATTAAACAAAAAGAAGAATGCAAATTAAAAAAATTCTCATGTGATGATTCCTTAGATAGGTTTTTCATCAATTGGATTTCCAAATTTCCTGTCAAACATGTCTCATATTTAGAATGGTTAAAGAACCCTTATAAATCTAAAATTTCTGATGCCATCAACTTTAGCTACCAAAGCATCACCCTTCGCAACTTTAATCTAGCTTCTTAATTGTTAATTTCATGTTTCAATTATTCATAATGGATCAAATACTTTACCTGGCAATGAACTCCAAGGGGCATCATCATTCTTGTTTTTTGCTTAAGCCAAATTCGTTGTATTGCTTTTCTGCTTAAGCCCAATTCACTGTATGGCTGCTGATCTTTGTCGTCTGCTGCTGCTTTTGTGATGCAGAAAATGATTAACGGGATGACTGTAAGCAGGTGGGCATGCATTAACTTTTCACGAAGTGTGCAAGAGAGTGTTGCTCGTGGGTTTTGCAATGAACTTGCTCAAATGTGCCAAGTGTCCGGCATGGTAGATATCCTTTTGTATCAATTCATATTAATATCAAACTCTTCTAGTTTCCCCCCTTTCAATTGAAGTTCTGATAAGTGTTGTTTTGCAGGAATTCAATCCAGACCCTGTCATCCCAATCTACAATGCCAGACCTGAGCAAGTTGAGAAGGCGTTGAAGCATGTTTATCATGCATCAATGAACAAAACCAAAGGAAAAGAATTGGAGCTTCTATTGGCCATTTTACCTGACAACAATGGTTCCCTATATGGTAGGCCATATGTGATGACTATGAGATCAAGACTTCTTATATATGATCTTGAACTCACATCGTTGTTCTAATATGTTCTTATCTTATCTCCTAGGTGATCTCAAGCGAATATGTGAAACTGATCTTGGTTTAATATCCCAATGCTGTCTCACAAAACACGTCTTCAAGATCAGCAAGCAATACTTGGCTAATGTGTCTCTTAAAATCAATGTTAAGGTTTGATTAACACATTTGAAATCTCATGCTGCAGCATATCATTTACATTCACTTATGACACTGTCAACATACTCTAGTCCTGGGATTTGACGGTTCCATAATGACCTGATTTATGCCACAAGTACTTAGTTTGTACTATTATGAGAATGGCAAGACATTTATCATATTTATTTTTCTGAAATTCATACCATAGTTTGGCAAACATGCACATCCTAACTCTTAGAAGTTTCTCATATTTGCAGATCCTTTTTTGTCCCATGGAATTACTGAAAGTTCATTTCACCCCTTTTCTTTTTCTGCAGATGGGTGGTAGAAACACTGTTCTTCTGGATGCTATCAGTTGCCGAATTCCATTAGTTAGCGACATCCCAACCATAATATTTGGAGCAGATGTGACTCACCCAGAAAATGGGGAAGATACCAGCCCCTCAATTGCTGCTGTACGGTTATTTACCTAATTTCATGTTTCTTAGAAGCTCTTCATTCCTGCATTGTTTGTTGAGACATTGGAACTGATAGGTTTTCGTCCAACTGTAGGTAGTAGCTTCCCAGGATTGGCCTGAAGTGACAAAATATGCTGGATTAGTTTGTGCTCAAGCTCATAGACAGGAACTCATACAAGACTTGTACAAAACATGGCATGATCCTGTTCGTGGGACGGTTAGTGGCGGCATGATCAGGTAATGAAAATCGACATACTATGCAAGTTTGTTCTCACTATTGGTGGCCTTCCCCTCTCTTAATCTCCTCTCTCCACCCCTCACCGCATTTGCAAGTAGTAATGTTTATATTAAATATTCTTTTCTGCAGGGATCTTCTGATATCTTTTAGGAAGGCGACAGGGCAGAAACCATTAAGGATTATATTTTACAGGTTAGTATTCTTAATGTAATGGGTTCGTGTAGAATTATTTCTGCAACTGTTTGAACACTTTGTGACACTGGTGCTGCTTGTTGCCTCAGCAGCTAGGTTACCTAAACTTTCTTGTGATGTAGTCTCCCAGTTGCTTTATTTTCATTTGAATTTTTTCCAAATACTTATGTTGTACCAAATCAATGAGACTTTAAGCCATGACCATTTTTTTTTTCCCTGGCAAAAAATTAAGTTTCTCCTGGACCCTGCTAAGAGTGCCCCTGCATTGAGTCAAAAGTGATGGATCATAGAAAGCTTATTCTGAATTGAATTTCGAAAGCAGTGATCTTAAGCAATCAACTCAACTGATTTTGGCTTGCACTTGATGTTATCTGTGTGATTATTGCATTTCATCCAACCAATGCTATATATATGAAACTAATATGGGGGAATTAAAGTGTGCATGTTTATGTTTCTATATCATGTTACCAGATGTTTGCATATACTGCATAATATACCTTTTCATGAAGTTCTCAAACAGAAATAGAGTTCTAAAGAAATTTTTTGAACAGGGATGGAGTAAGTGAAGGGCAGTTTTATCAAGTTCTATTGTATGAGTTGGATGCAATTCGGAAGGTGAGAATTGATAATGCTCTATTTCGTTATCTATTTTGTGACTAGAAAATGTTGGTGGCTCTTACATGCAAAGTTCTTTGCAGGCTTGTGCTTCTCTAGAGCCCAACTATCAACCACCAGTGACATTCATTGTTGTACAAAAACGTCATCACACTCGATTGTTTGCTAGCAACCACAGGGATAGGAGCAGCACGGACAGGAGTGGGAACATATTGCCTGGTAATTTTTAAGTCTCCCTGAAAATAAATTGTGGTAAATTCTTGTGCAACGTTTGGTTTTGTTATTGCTCATCTAACAAAATGCAATGTGGGTCTCAGGAACTGTGGTTGATTCTAAAATATGTCATCCAACGGAATTTGATTTTTATCTCTGCAGCCATGCTGGTATTCAGGTATAATTTTCTCATATTACATATGATGTATAAGTTATAATCCTGAAACCATGGGGTTTCCATTTAGGAGCAAAAGCAAAATTTTACATGGACAATTCTTTCGATATATTTTGTGTTGACAAGCTGGGCTCCCTGTCAGTTTCCTTTAGATTTTTCAAGCTTTTTTATTTTTTATCTAGGTGATCACAGATAGAATTCTAGTTGGTCAAACCTGTCTCAAGTGAAGGACTGTGTATCGCAGGGATGTTCAGAGACTCTCTGTTATTAGTTATTTGGTTCTTTTTCAATCTCAATGATTGGGGATAGTAACTGGGTGGTCTAAACCATTCTAATTCAGATAACTTTGTTAATCATAATGTCGGTTATAAGTTGACATTGGTGCAAAACCTAAACGTTTGACCATATGTCACTGGCTATTGGAATGAACCACATTCGTATTGAAGTTTTGATCTATGTCCGACAGCCAGCTTTGTTGATTGCTGCCTATATTTTCTTATTACAGAGGCCAAAGATTAACATATTACTAATGAAATAATTTTTGACGTTTCCTAATGCTTAGTGATTTTCTATGTGCATAAAGACAAGGATGTATTTAAGATGGTCCATCTTGTAGGCATAAGAGTAGTTTTTTTCTGCATATTTGTGGAAACTTAATGATTTAATTTGTTTCTAATATGACAGGGCACAAGTCGACCGGCGCACTACCATGTTCTATGGGATGAGAACAATTTCACACCTGATGGAATCCAGTCTTTGACAAACAATCTCTGTTATACATATGCGAGATGCACACGATCTGTCTCTGTTGGTAAGATTTTCTTGGTTTCTCTTATATTACACCTGAAGAGCTTTAGTTATTCCACAAAGAATTAGAAAAGGAAAAACTATGGCTACCAATGCCACTTCCACCCATCAACAAAAGAAAAGGGGTGCATGGGGTGGGTGAAGAAAGGAATAAACAATCTCAAGCCCAAAGAATTACAACAGAAATTGATTGGAAGTTTAATGGGGCTATGATGGACTTTATTGGTGTATCTTCCAGTTTGAACTGAAATAAAATGTTCATCATTTAAAGAATGACAAAATACTCTATATGCTAAACATAAACTTTCAGAATGACTCCTAAAGCATATAGAAAATTATGATCATTTGGTTTTCGGGAGTGCAAAATTATGCTCATCATATAAAAATATAATTTTAAGCCTTATTTTTTACTATTGGGTGCACAGATAGGGAAAAATCTGGAGCCTCAACTTTGACTTCTAGTTTCAGCTTATTGTTAAAACATTTATAATGAAATGGCTGAATTGTGGTTTATGTGCAGTTCCCCCGGCGTATTATGCACATTTAGCTGCATTTCGTGCCCGATTCTACATGGAACCAGAACTGCAGGAGAATGGTTCAGTGGATGGCGGTGCAGGTCTTGCCACTAAGACTACAAGAGCTGTGGGAGAAACTGGAGTTCGGCCATTGCCAGCGTTGAAGGAGAATGTGAAGAGAGTAATGTTTTATTGTTAGAAGTGAGAGTAGGAGGAACTGTAGCCAGGAGATGCAGCAATCATGAGTTAACCTCTTTTTCATTTCTAAAATTTCTTCTCTGTAAATGTATGATGATGATTAGTTCATTGTTGCAGGCTCCACAATTTTAGATCAGTGATTATAGAATCAAATAGTTTTAGGCCATGGTTCCTTTAAATCATGTCAAGAGCAAGGAACTAACATCCATCAGCTAAGCTATCATGTGTAGAATGTTAAATTAGTGTATGTAAAGAAATGTTTTAATATGAATGAGTTCATGTGTAGGAAGTTTTGCTTCAGATTTAAATAATACCTTCTCGCTTTCATCTCTTCAATCTTGAGTAATTTTCTTGAAGCAAGGAGAAAATTCTTGCAAATATAAATTGCAATGGTGAATACCAGTTGAATAACCTGCAATATGTAATCATTCATGTGCTCATCTGTAAGTTGAACTGTAAGGCTGTCAACTCATTTTCAGCTGTGAATACAAATCAGAAATAATATCTTTCTTTGCAGACACTGTACATGTAGACGACGCGTCCTTACCTTTGTAAAAGAGTACTTCCATTTTTATCTGTGAATACCTAACAAAAATAAAATCTTTTGCAAGACAAGTCTTTTCCTCTGTAAAGAGTTGTCGTTCATACGGTACTTTAAATTATTATTTTTTAAATTCTTTATTGTAAATATATGTTGGAAACGGTTAAATATGGTTTCTGTGACCATGTGTCCATGAAGACCTTGTGGGAGTAAACAGGGATAGGGTTGACCATTCGACTAAACACGATGGATTATTTATATTTGAACAGACGACATATTCTTATCAAGGTTTAGCGAAATCTTAAGTTGACATTACCGGTTGTAATTATTCTAGACTTTCATTCTTAAAGTAATGCCGTTTCTATTATTTTAATAAATTCTCAACTTTTTATTATAACGTGACGCATGTTAGCACACTAAAGTGCATCAGCACTTTCTTTGGTAAAATATTAGCTCATATTAGCAAAAAACGGCTCACATTAGTAGCATCTAAGCTGACGGTTTTTGTTTTTTCGATCGATCCCAAAGTCCAAAATCACTTCCGAGACCACCATTGAACTCCTTGCAATCTCTTCTACAAAACCAATATCTTCACTTGTCGATCTCACTCACCGTTTCCGATTACCTTTAACAGTTACTAACAATATTAGTTTAAAAATGAGAATCCGAAATAAATGCAACTAGAGGTATCACTCTAGGATTTCGCTAAACCTCAGGATGAAAATATGTCATTTACTCTTTATATTTTCTTTGCCTTATACTGCATAAAAAATTAAAAAAAATAAAAAAATGAAAAAAGATTATACCAAATTGATGAGATTTTAAGCCAGGCCCTCTTCTTCTCCCTAGCAAAAAATTAAAGTTTCACCGGGACCCTGCTAAGAGTTCCCCTGCTTTGAGTCAAAATTGGTGGATCACAGAAAGTATAATCTATATTGAATATTTGAAAGCAGTGATCTTAAGCATCGGACGATTCAATTACCTGTGCAATTTATAGCATTTTATCTATATTTACAAAGAGATGAAACTAATGTAGAGAGATAAAAAGTGTGCATGTTTATGTTTCTGTATCTTAATTGTTACCGGATATTGAGTTACTTATCTGCAAATATTAGACAAAATACATGTTCATGAAGTTGGATCTCAAACAGAATTGAAGTTGTTAAGACATGTTTTGAGCAAGGTGGAGTTCTACTCAATCAGATTAAATGTGAAATGTCGATAAAAATTTATAAATCTTATGCACCAAACTAAATATAAGAAGAGTCATGTCTTTTACAAGAGACACAACTGATAAGGCAAGTAAGACCATAAAACAGGAAGGTCATTTGTTGTTCATGAATGCTAAATCACGCAAAAGGAGACTGCTGGTAATTCACTTAAACTGTCTTTGAAGCATTGTGTGATTGCAGAAAGTATAGTAATATTGAGTTCCGAGGGCAGTTCAACTTCATGGAGATAATAAAAAAAAGCTATCCTAACAGCTGGCTGTTATGGCCAAAAATCGTCTTTGGCCCAAATAGGTAAACAGGACTACCAGTGAAGAAAATACCAGGCCCAATCTCAAAGAGGCCCAAGCCAAATTAGTCTCATTTGATATGAGATGTGGCCTGCCCCAAACCATTTGGGCATGGGCCTCCCAGTTTCAGCTCACTTCATGGGTCTATAGGCGAGTTTAGAGCCCACGGCCCCCATTGATCACATTCCTATTCCTGATCAGTCTCCTATTCGAAGTCACTTTCCTGTTCAGATCACCTTCCTACTTAGACGCTGGTAAGATAGCTCATCGCCGCCCTAACTCTTCTAAAGTTTGCATCAGAGTCACATTAGGACTCCTACTCCTACCAGGATTGGGAGACCAGACAGTCACTATATAAACAAAGGCCAACCCTCTCACAAAGGACACATTACACTACACCTTCACACCTGAAGCTTCTACTTGAGAGCTTCACATCACTGCCGTAGTCACAGTCTCCGACTAGACTTCCGGTAACCTCTCTACTCCCTAGCCTTCACTATACTAGCCTCTTTCAGCCTTGCTGACCTGAGCATCGGAGTGCCTACGGCAAACACCACCCTAGTGTTTCCCATTCGCTTCACGCATTTGTTTCTCTACGTGCGCAGGTGCAGGGGATCGCTAGTGGCCTCAACCTCACGGGATCAGACCCCCCTTCCGTACAAGTAGATTTTTACGTCTACAGTTTGATGCCCACCGTAGGGCCTCTAGCAATCATTCGGCTCGACGAACCTTGCTACGTAGAGGAACTTTCCATGGCTGACAACTCCGACAATGCTAATCCCGGCCTCAAGGCCAAACTGGAGGTTCTGACCGCTCTCATGCAACAGAACTCGGACAAGGTAGCTGCACTGGAAGCCGAGAACAATGCAAACCAGACCGAAAACGCATCCATCAGGTCAGAAAACCAGTCTCTTAAGGAGAATGTTAGTCAATTCTATGATTTAGAGTTCTTGCCTGGCCAGACACCCCCAAATCGGTTCCGCGCCCCCGTTCCATCCATGCAACCTCTTCATATGCCAGAGCACCGACCCTCGGTCTTCAGCAAAAGACCGCGTCCGTTAAACTCATCTGTGGTTGACGATTTTGTCCTGATTCATGGAGGTAAAGATATGCCTGTAAAACATCATTCAGCCGATTCATCCCAGCGTCAAGATCAAGATGATCTAGTGGCAGAAAGCCCTCATCCACAAGACTAACCCAATCTAACCATCCCACCTTACCTCCAGTCAATCATACCAACACATACTCCCTTCAGCTCGGTCATCCTCACGGGATGAACGGCCAAACTAAACAAACCACAGCACCTGAGCTCATCCATCCTGACCAATCGAATGACTATCAGAGGACTCCCCTGACCATTCATGTAGGGCGAAACACCAGAACAGTTACCGTGGGAGTCATCCAACCGGAAGGAATGAACAAAGATCTATGCTACCAGGGAACGCACGAAGGAACAAATTGTCAGACTACCCCACGAGGGATGATCCAACGGAATGTACCAAAGACAATTGCAAAGGCTGACCCGGTCACGCGGGATGACCTAGTGGCGTCCCTTTCTCCTATGGAACAGGTACTAGCCAAGAGATTGACCGACGTGGAAGCAGTGATGCGAAACATTCCAGGAATACCGATCCCAACCAAGAAGAGCAGGCCCCATTGTTACGCGGATTCACCCTTCGTGGATGAGATCACCCTAGCCGACATGCCTCAGAAGTTTATCATCCCCAACATGAAACTATATGACGGCACAACCGATCCAGACGATCACATAACCTTGTACAAGCAGCGGATGTTCACCATCTCAATACCCCGACCACTTAAGGAAGTCTGCATGTGCAAAAGTTTCGGTTCAAGCTTATCCGGCCCAGCACTCCAATGGTACACGAATCTCCCGAACGGATCCATTGATTCATTCGCTCAACTCACCGACACATTTGCGGAACAGTTCGCCAGCAGCAAGAAACTCGAGAAGCTGTCTACCAACCTATACAGAGTATACCAGAGAAGGGGTGAGCCACTGAGAGAGTATGTCAGCAGGTTTAACAAAGAGAAGATCTTCATCCCTACATGTAACCCCGAGACAGCCGTAGATGCCTTCAGGAAGGGTCTCCTCCCAGACGGAGAGCTATACAAAGAACTTACAAAGCTAGGTTGCACCACAATGGAAGACGCCCTGGCCCGGGCAGTGATCCAAATAAGATGGGAGGAGGATGAGATAAACTGAATGATTCACTCCAAATACGATTCAAGGCGGAATGACAGGAAGCCAGAGCACAGGCCAACGAAGCACCGCTACCAACCCCCAGCACACAATTCGAGCAGAGTCAAGAAGCCGTATGATCGCCAGTCGATAAGAACCGACAGCAGACAGTTCAGATCAAACCGGTACAAAATACTGGAATACAGCCTCAATGTTAAGCCAACACAGGTCGTCGCGATTATGAAGGGAATGGGATCCACTGTTAAGTGGCCAGGCAAGCTCAATCCTGAGACAAGGAGAGACAAGACCAAATGGTGCGAGTTCCACGGCGATCATAGGTACAACACCATAGACTGCATCGCCTTACGACTAGAGGTCGCTATACTTCTAAAGAGGGGACACCTCCGGGATCTGCTAACCGATAAGGGGAAGAACACCATTAGCCATAAAAGTTCAAAAGAACCATCACCACCTCGGCGAGAACCTATACTAAAAGGTTTCTGTTCGTTCATCTCCGAAGGATCAAAGATCAGTGGGGTAAGTTACTCATCAGCCAAGCGATATGCCAGAGCCAACCACCACCATGAAGTCCAGTCCATCCATCCGGTCTCACGATCACACACTCATCAGGTAATTCAATTTGAAGATGACGAGCCGGTCACCTTGGCCGTTCCTCATCACGATGCCCTAGTCATCTCCCTGCAGGTCACCAACATCCTAGTGAAAAGAGTATTCGTAGATGAAGGCTCTTCAGCAAACATCCTATTCCTCGAAACAGTGAAGGCTATGGGACTAGAAGAGGCAAACATCAACAGGCGGCTAACGCTGTTAGTTGGTTTCAGCTCTGAGCAGAAGTATACTATCGGGGAGATCATCCTCCCAATCTATGCTGGCGGAGTGAACAAACAGACCATTTTTCTAGTAATTGACTGCCCCTTGCCATACAACATCATCTTGGGCCAACCTTGGAGCCACGACATGCGAGCGATCCCATCTACCTTCCACCAGACTATCAGATTTCCAATCAAGTGGGGGGTACGAGAGATCAAGGGTGACCTTAAAACTTCCAAGGATTGCTACAAGAATGCCTTCAAAGGCAAGGGTAACTCTTCATAGCAATTATAGATTCATCCGACCCCACCAACTGAGCCGGATCAACCATCTATGGAAGAGTTGGATGAAGTACAGATACATCCGGACGATCCCGACAGAAAGACACACATAGGGTCCCGCCTCAAGCCTGAGACAAGAGAGAAGCTGATAGAATTCCTCAAACAGAACCAAGACTGTTTTGCCTGGTCCCACGCCGACATGACCGAAGTCAGTCCGGAAGCAATGGTCCACCAGCTCAAGGTAGACCCATATCACCCACCAATGAAATAGAAGAGAAGGAAATTCGCACCAGAGCATAACCGAATTGTTAACGAAGAGATCAAGAAGCTCCTGAACAATGGCATGATCAAAGAGGTCCACTACCCCGAATGGCTGGCGAATGTCATAGTCGTAAAGAAAAAGAACGAGAAATGGAGAGTGTGCATCGACTTTACAGACTTGAACAAAGCCTACCCTAAGGATTCCTTCCCGTTCCCACATATCGACATGATGGTCGATGCTACCGCAGGTCACGAGCTCCTTAGTTTCATGGATGCTTTCTCAGGGTACAACCAGATCTTGATGCACCCGGACGACCAAGAGAAGACAACCTTCATCACGGAAAGGGGAACCTATTGCTATAAGGTGATGCCATTCGACTTGAAAAACGTTGGGGCCACCTACCAGCGGCTGGTCAACAAGATGTTTACCGAGTACCTCGGAGACACCATGGAGGTATACATTGACGACATACTCGTCAAGTCACTGATGGCCGAACAGCACCTCGACCACCTCAAGCAGGCATTCGCCGTCCTCAGGAAGTACAACATGAAGCTAAATCCAGCCAAGTGCTCATTCGGGGTCTCGTCAGGTAAATTCTTAGGCTACATGGTGACTCAGCGAGGGATAGAAGCCAACCCAGACCAAATCAGAGCAATCCTTAGTATACCGTCTCCAATTTGCCTCAAAAACGTCCAGCGCCTTGCAGGACAGGTAGCCGCCTTGAGCCGCTTCATTTCCAGGTCAGCCGATAAGTGCCACCTCTTCTTCTATGCTCTCAACAAGTCCAAGAAGTTCGAGTGGACCGTCTCCTGTGAAGAAGCCTTGCAACAGCTGAAGAGGTACCTGACCTCCCCTCTGCTCCTTTCCAAACCTATGGACGGGGAGAAGCTCTACTCTTACCTAGCGGTCTCAGAGATAGCCATCTCAGCAGTATTGGTTCGGGAAGAAGAAACGAAGCAGTTGCTGGTCTATTATGTAAGCAAGTCACTCCTTGACGCGGAAACACGATACAGTCAGCTGGAAAAATTAGTCCTCGCCCTCATCCATGCATCCAGAAAGCTCAGGCCATACTTTCAGTGCCACTCAATAGTTGTACTCACCTTCTTCCCACTCAAGAAGATACTGCACAAACCAGAGCTATCAGGCCGACTCATGCAGTGGACAGTAGAGCTCAGTGAGTTCGACATAAAATACCAGTCTCGCACCACCGTCAAATCCCAGGCCTTAGCTGACTTTATTGTTGACTTCACCTCGAATACCACCACTCAAGCAGAAAGTGAGTTGTTATGCATGAACGGCGGATCACCTTCCAAGTGGACCCTCTTAGTGGACAGCTCGAGTAACGTAAATAGAAGCAGACTTGGAGTGGTACTGATTGTGCTAGAATGAGACATCATCCAATGGATAATACGGTGTGGGTTCAAGTGCATGAACAACGAAGCCGAATATGAGGCCCTCATAGCTGGACTTTCCTTAGCCAAAGAAATTAGAACAAAGAAACTAGAGGTGAAGTTTGATTCCCAGCTCATGGTCAATCAACTGCAAGGTACGTATCAAGCACGCAACTCGAAGATGACATCCTACTTAAGCATGGTCAAGGAAATGCAGGCCCAATTCGATGAGAACTCCCATGCTGATGCCCTTGCCAATCTCGGCTTGGCCCTCAAATGCTCTTCCCAGTCATCCATCCCTCTATTATTCATGCAGTGGCCCGCCAACTGGGAGGGACAATAACTAAAAGAGCTGCCTGAGGAAGCCATGGTGTTGAACTAGCCGACTGCTGGATGACTCCGATAGTGAGATACTTGGAAAATGACGAACTCACAGCTGACAAGAACGAGGCACGACGACTAAAAGCAAGAGCCACCAGATTCACCATACATGAGGGCCAACTCCTTAGAAAATCATCATCGGGCCTCTACCTCAAGTGCACAAGCCCAGAGGAGGCCTAACGTGTCCTTGCCGAGTTACATGAAGGCGAATGTGGAAATCATGCTGGGGGGACGCAACCTTGCACATTGGGTGATCATTGTTGGATATTACTGGCCGACCATAATCACTGATTTGGCCGCTTATGTGAAGAAGTGCAACAGTTGTCAGAGGTTTGCTCATGTCTCACACCTCCCACCAGAGCGGGTCCATTCCATCCTCACACCCTGGCCCTTTATGAAGTGGGGAATGGACATCGTGGGAAAACTAACGACTACACTCGGACAACGAGTCTTCATATTTGCTGTGATAGACTACTTTACCAAGTGGATTAAAGCCGAAGTCGAAGCCTTTGCACAAGTCAGAGACCGAGAGGTAAAAGCCTTCATCTGGAAGAATGTCATCTACAGGTTTGGCATACCGAAGGAGATCGTCACCGACAATGGATCCCAGTTCATCAGTTCAGGCTTCAGGGATTTCTGTGACTTGTGGGGAATAAAATTGAGCTTCTCAACCCCCCGCAACCCCCAGTCTAACGGCCAGGCCGAGTCGTCAAACAAGACCATCGTTCAGAAACTAAAGAAGCGGTTACAAAAAGCCAAGGGTGCATGGGCAGATGAGCTATCCGGAGTCCTCTGAGCATACCGAACCACGGCTCGCTCGTCAACGGGCGAGACCCTCTTCTCCCTCACATACGGTTTTGAAGCAGTCATCCCAACCAAAGTATCAGTCCTGTCCACCAAGCACCAATGGGCGACCGAGGAATCAAATGACCAGAACCTTTACTAGAACCTAGACACTATCGACGAGCTATGCAAACGGGCAAGCATCCGTAACGCAGTCTATCAGCAACAGGCTGCCTGACATTACAACTACAACGTAAGGATCCGAACTTTCAAGACAGGCGACTAGGTCCTCCGTAGGGTCTTTCAAAACACCAAGGAGATCAACTCTTGCAAACTCAGCCCCACCTGGGAAATCCCCTACAAGATAACCAAAGAAGCAGGGAAGGGTGCTTAAAAACTCCAAACCCCCGAGGGCAAAGACATCAGTAGCAGTTGGAATGTCCTTCACCTTAAACGCTACTTCTTCTAGGTGAACTTATCTTTTTCAGTTTTCCTTATTTATTTTAAAAAGGATGAGTGGGCCTATCCACCTCCTCTTAGACAATCGGCCTCATGGCCAAATATTAATGAAGTATTATTCAGAAATTTTTCATCTCCTAATCGACTCCGGTCGATCAATTATTGTTAACACCTTCAGATCGGCCATGCTCGATCCACGAAATTGCACCTTCGAATCGACCCTGCTCGATTCATGATTACACCTTCAAATCGGCCATGCCCGATCCACGAAATCGCATCTTCAAATCGACCCTGCTCGATTCACGATTACACCTTCAAATCGGCCATGCTCGATCCATGAAATCGCATCTTCAAATCGACCCTGCTCGATTCACGATTACACCTTCAAATCGGCCACGCCCGATCCACAAAATTACACCTTCGAATCGACCCTACTCGATTCACGATTACACTTTCAAATTGGCCTTGTTCGATCCATGATTTCGTACTTTCGAATCAACCCTGCCCGATCTGCCAATAACACCTTCGAATTGATCCCGCTCGATTCATGATAACACCTTCAAATCGACCCCACTCGGTTCACGGAATCATCTTCGGTCGACCCTGCCCGATCCACGAAGGGATGTCGTCAAATTGGCTCAGCTCAACCTACTATTCACACCTTCAAGTTGGATTCACACCTCCGGATTGACTTCACCCAGTCCAAGAGACTTCGTACTCGGTCGGCCAGACCAAATGAATGGTTCTTACACCGGCAATAAGCAAAGCACCAAACTAGCCCAACATAAGACTTACATGCCTTAGCCACTGGGCAGCCACACTAAAGTAATAAACACGACTTGGTGCATCTACAAGTAAAGAAACAATGAACAACTCATTCATCCATGAAGAAAGCATCAGAAGTTAGAACAACCGAGTATAATATAGATAGCCTCAAACGGCTCAATTCAAAATACAAAAAAAGGGCACATGCCAAGAAAAAGGGCATCGCAGGCCCCAAAATACAAGGAAAAACTAAGCTAACTATCCTCAGTACAAGTCGCCTCCTGCATCTCCAACTCGATCATCATGTCTGCACCGCCAGCACTTGTCCTAGCAGCCCGGTCGCTTGCATCCCCAACATCCGACAGCCCCGACTGAATAGCAAGGTCAGACATTTGTTCCTCGTCTTGCCCCTCCGGATGACCGACTCCCTCTTCCAACAACTCCCGCATGAGCTGGATGTTTTCGTTCGGATCCCAGTAAGAAGTCTTTCCTTCCTTGAACTCAAGCATGAGTTCACCATGAGCCTTGATGATAGCGTCATCAACGATGGAAATACACTGCTCCCTAAGAGACTCGATCTCTGCGGTCTTCTCAGCCAACTCACGCCTCAACTGCTCCAACTCACGCTTGCTATCTCTCAGACGCTGCTGAAAATCTTGCTCGACCTTCCGGGCTGCTGCCTCTCTTTGGCGCAAGCTGGTGTTGGCCTTCGAGACATCCTATATCCGTTTCTCCTGCGCCACGACAGACTTCCTCAGATGAAGACTGCTAGTGAGTACCTGCACAATAAAACATTATCATCAGAACGAAATTCAGGAACAAAATCATCAAATACTACTGTCATACCTGAACGGCATGGGCTACACCCCAATCAATCGTAGTAACTGCACCTATCTGGTTCAGACGTGCCTCGTCTGTCGAGAACAAAAATGAGTCGGCCAACTTACTCATGATAGTCGCATC